GTTATCATTTATTTGTTTTGGGAGATATTTAAGCATCTGTTCATGTGTTTGATTGTTTGTTTATTTACTTTTTTATTTATTTCATTTTTTATTTATGTATATAATTTCAGTTGTTTATTATTCATTAACAATACTAATATGTGATTATTGCTGCTGTCGTTCTGTTGTTACTATTATTATTATTTTATCATTATTATTATTATTATTATTATTATTATTATTATTATTATCATTATTATTTGTATTATCATTATTTGTATTGTTTGTATTATTACTAATATTATTATTATTGTTGTTATTATTATTGTTATTATTATCATTATCATTATTGTTATTATTATTATCATTATTGTTAATATTATCATTGTTATTATCGTTGCTGTTATTATCATTATCATTACTGTTATTATTATTATTACTATTATTATTATTATTATTATTATTATTATTATTATTATTATAATCATCAATATTATTATTATCATTATTGTCATTATCTCATTCTCATTACATTAAATATTTTTGATACGCTTCTCTCTGGATTTTTTTTCTTCTTTAATAATTACATTCATATCTTTATTATCGCTATTTTCTTTATAATTATCCTAAGGGGGTGAGCTATTTCGACTGTTTTCTTATTTTATTTGTTCACTTTTTCGCTATTTTCGTTGATATGTATTGTTATTATCATCATATTTATTGCTGTTGTTGTTATTATCTTTCTTCTTCTTATCATTTTTGTTCATTATCATTATTTTTATTTATCATATCGTTATCATTATCATTGTTCTTATTATTGTGATCTTTATGACTATTATCATTATTATTATTATCATTATTATTTTTATCATTATTACTTTTATCATTCTCGTTATTATTATAATTATTTCTAGTATTGTTATTATTATGATTGTTATAATCATGACTATTATTATTATTATTACCGTATCATTAATGTCATTAATATTATTTTCATCATTCATTAACATTTTCTAAAGCATTATTACTATTGTTATCAATATTAACGTAATTGTGGTCACTGTTAATCACCTTATTGTTATTATTATCAGCATGATTATGATTATTATCATTATTATTATCCTTATCATTATCATCATTATTATCATTATCAATATTATTATTATTATCATTATCAATATTTTTATTATTATCATTATTATTATCATCATCATCATCATTATCATCATCATTATCATCATCATCATCATTATTATTATCATCATCATCATCATCATCATTATCATTATCAATATTAGTATTATCATTATTATCATCATCATCATCATTACCATCATTATTATCATCGTCTTCATCACCACCATCGTCGTCATTATTTTCCGTAAAATCATTATCATTAGTATTAAAAGTAGTAATATAAGTAAAAAAACCCAAAAAAAACGTATTTTCGGGTTGATAGAAAAAAAAACACTCGTACCTTTCTGTTTTTTTTTCTCTCTCTCTCTCTTTCTTTCCTTCCTTAATTCTTTCTTTCTTTCTTTTTGTCATTTCTCTCTTTCTTTCCTTCCCTCCATCCTTTCTGTCTTTTATCTTTCCTTCCTCGTTTTTTTCCTTCTTTTCTTTCGTTCTTTCTCTTTGCCTTTCTTTCTTTCCTTCTTTCTTTCTATCTTTACTTAATAGCCTTTTGTATACAGTGCTAACCAACCAACGATTAAGATATACAATATAGATGATAATGATGATAATAACACTAATAGCGATAACGACAAATGCATAGATGAACGATAATTGTCTTTATACGAAATACTGAAAAAAAAAAACTTTAATAAAAAACTTTAGTAATAAAAGTAATAATTTAGTAATAAAATTTAGTAATAATTTAGTAATAAAAACCGACGCCAGATCGTCGTGTTTACATCCTCTGTTTCACCTTTTAAAAAGAAAAAATCCTTTTGTTCTTATCTCATTCATTTTTATTTTAATTCATTTCTCATTTCATTGCTAAGTCTCATTCTCATTTTCATCTTCATCTCTCTATTTCAGTTCTAACTTCCAGTCTCATTTTCATCTTTATCTCCGTTTCATTTCTCTATTTCATATCTCATTTCCATCCCATCTCTATTTACATTTCTCATTTCATTTCCCCCATATTCATTTTTATTTTTCTCTCTCTCTTTTTCCTTGATTCGTCGTCGTTTATTTTTCCCGAATTCCTTCTATTTTCCCGAGCTTTTACTTTGGCGCTGCGGCAAACGTCAGCGATAGGAGATGTAAGGATCATTAATGTTATTGTTATTTCATTATTATTGTTGTTATCATTAATATTATCATTGCCATTATTATTATTAGTAGTAGTAGTAGTATTGTTATTATTATCATTATTATTACCACTATTATCATCATTATTATTATTATCATAATAATCATTATCTGCATTAATCACAACAGTATCAACATTATCTTTATCATTATTATCATTATCATTATTATTATTATTATCATTATCATTATCATTATCAGTATTATTGTTATTATTATCATCATTATTATTATTATCATCATTACTATTATTATCCTTATTATAATTGTAATTATCATTATCATTATGATTATCATTATCATTATCATTATCATTATCATTATCATTATCATTATCACTATCATTATCATTATCATTATCATTACCATTATCATCATTATTATTATTATTATTATCATTATTATTATCATTATTATTACCACTATTATCATCATCATTATTATTGTCACCATTATTATTATTATTAGTAGTAGTAGTATTGTTATTATTATTATCATCATTACTATATTATTATTATTAGTAGTAGTAGTATTGTTATTATTATTATAATCGTTATTATTGCTGTTATTATTATTATTATTTTTATTGTTATTATCATTATTATTATAATTATTATTGTTGTTATTATTATCATAATTATTATTGATATCATTATTATCGTTATTATTATCGTCATCTCTATCGCCATTATTATCATCATTATTATTATTATCATCATTACTATCATTATTATTAGTATTAATAGTTGTTGTTGTTGTTGTTATTATTATTATCATAATAATCATTATCTGCATTAATCACAACAGTATCAACATTATCTTTATCATTATTATCATTGTTATTACCAGTATTATTACAGTCGCTGTTTCCTCAGTAGCATCACCATTATCATTATTAACATCATTATCATTATTGTTGATATCACTATTATCACTACTATTATTATCAATTATTATTATCGTTATTATTATTATTATTATTATTATTATTATTATTATTATTATCATTATCATTATTATCATTATCATTATCATTATCATTATCATTATTATTATCATTATCATTACTATTATTATTATTATTATTATTAATATTATTATTGCTATTATTATTATCATCATTATTATTATTATCATTATCATTACCATTATCATCATTATCATCATTTTCATTATAATGATTACATTATTACCTAATTATTATAATCTTAAAAGTACTACTACTATCATTAT